TTTAAATCGATTAACTCTTTCATGGTCGGGGGTACATAAATTGTACCACCATCTTTTTAAATTGAAACATGGTGGTACAATTAATGTACCACCTATTTTGACACCAGAATGAGTGATAACATACACAAAACGTACTTCAGCACTGACAAGAAATGAGGAACGAAGATGACAAGAAATTCTTTAGGCGTCTCTTTTCATCTTACCCCGTTCGTCTCAAAGCTGTCAGACACACAGACAAGGTTCACGCAAATTACTAGGAATACAAGTTTAGATTCGAAAATGAATGCTCTTTCTTATGATATATGAGTTTTTTTTCCTAGCTCTTATAGTTTAGGCTGTGGATGGGGGGTGGGGGGTGGGGGCTATCTATGTGCAACACCAGGTACAGTGACACTTCATTGCGCGGAGATTTAAAGATTCATTAACGATTTACAGGCAACACAGGATGGAAGAGCAAAAATAGGAGCAAACAAGGAATAGTTAACGGGTTTCACACATTCGTTTCCACTTCTCTCGCCTGCCCCCGGCTTTCCCCCTCCCTCGGTTACCTTCCGGGGGCTCCCACAGACGTTCGCCGGTGCACTTACACGTACGCCTCTCACTCCCCAGTCTTTTCATCATCCTCTTACCTGCCTCTCCAGTCCCATGCCCCAGTCTAACTCCCCTTTTCCATCTGTGCTTTCCCTTGCAGCTTCTTCATTACGACTTTCTTTTCCTCATTCGCATCCAATGACTTTTCGGACGCTCTGCCCTAGGCCGCTGTTACCTTAGCCCAGGGGTCGGGAACCTTTTTGGGCATGTGAGCCATAAAGATTGAGCTAAGTGCTCGTGAGCCAAAAGATTTTCAAAACAACAGATTGACTTTTCGGACGCTCTGCCCTAGGCCGCTGTTACCTTAGCCCAGGGGTCGGGAACCTTTTTGGGCATGTGAGCCATAAAGATTGAGCTAAGTGCTCGTGAGCCAAAAGATTTTCAAAACAACAGAATTTTTCTTGTACAGGTAGTTGGCAACAGTCATTTGCATTCTTTGATATATGAGAAAAATGAGGAACAACCATGATTTTTAGCCATGACTCATGAGCCAAACTTTTCGGGTCATGTTCCACAGGTTCCCGACCCCTGCCTTAGCCTGACGCGCGAGGCCTGCAAGGCTATGCCTTTAAAGGCCGTAGGCTAGGTAGAAGGACAAGGGATGCGTACCAGTACGTTTGTGGATGCGAAGGGGCCAGGAGGCTTTTATTTTATTTTAAATAGTCTGAAAGCAATGTCTTTGCTTTTGTGTTCCCGTTTTCCAAAAATATTATGTCGTTTCGAGGAAGAGTGAGCAGTTCGAAAACAACTACCTTCTATAAGCCATCAGAGACGTTTAAAGAGGTACTTCGCTGTAGTAGTCGCATGTTTCCCCGCTAGAAAGCAACACTGAAGATATTATGTGCCCTTGAGTTGACTGCATACACCAAAAGTTTCGAGGCATGTGTACCATGGTTAAAAAATCATAATCGCCAAAAATTTTGCTGTGAAAGAGTTAAATTCAAGGTGTCTCTCGGTGCTATCTTTCTTGTCTGGCATAAGTTAGGCCCGGCCTAACGTGCCTATCCCGACGAGCCGCCACTGTCCAGGCTTTCAAGATAATTAAAGGAATATATAATGCCGAGCGTGGTAGGGTCTTCAGTTCGATGGCAGCAAGAGAACGAGAAGTAATCAACTCAAGTTGCGTAAACCGCAGGTGCGGCTCAGGTCGAGACAGGACTTCTTTACTTGTAGGGTGGTGAACGTGTGAAATGTGTTAGATGACGACGTAGTGGCTGCCCCGCGCCGTGACTACTTGAAAGAAGAAACTAACGTCACCGAAAAAGTAGTCGCCACCCGTACAGAAAAATTTTCAACATGTTGAAATTGAAATCGGTGAATCAACGGTGATTCACCGGTTTTCAACGTCTATTCAACAGGGGTTCAACACTATTCATCATTGAATTATCGGTGATTTACGTAGATAATTTATTTAAAACAAAATTTATGGAAATTTACAGTGAAAAGTGATTTCAACAACGAAATGGAGATGAAGCAATATCAATCGTGGAAATACTCTGATGTAATTCTCGCCTTATATGATAGGTGTAACGTTAACCCTTCAAGCGGGTTCGACGTCACTGTGACGCCTGCTATGGTATACTGGTATCTACTCCGGCGGAAAGACGTGACAGTGACGTCCAATATGGTATTGCACTTCTGACATCTCATGGATGTATTACGGAGAATGTTCCGCCTTGTTTAATGACCGGCTTGAAGGGTTAACACTGGGGCTATGATTGAGATATGTCAATCACAACACCCATATGGGTGTTGTGATCTAAGAATAAAAGTATGACGTGCACAAGAGAATCACATCGTGAAATAGTCGGCAAAAATGTATATCTAAGCAATATAAGCTCACGACTTGTCGTTCTGATTATTAGTCTCAGAATTCTGAATGAATTTTTACATTAGCCTTTTCCGGGCTGAATAGTTGAAAGTTCACAGGTCCTGAGATAAGTTTAGCCTAACGTCAAAGGAACCAATTCACATCACCATACAACATCTTTAAGCCGAACTATTGACACTGGGAGAGACTAACTTGCAGTCCTGACGTCTACCGAGAGATGTGAGGAATAGCATGGTTCAACCGCGTCTCACAAGGATAACAAAGACAAGCGATCGGGGATTCCCCCCTTTTTTTCCCCCTCTCCCAAGCTGTCAGAGGAGAGTTTCTTTTCTTTTTTTCAACACCCCCTGTTGATTCACCGGTGAATCAACGTTGAAACAACGTTGAAACGCATCTCACCGGTGATTCAGCGTTGATTCAACGGTGAATAACCGGTGAGATTTTTGTACGGGCACTATTTTGCAAGTTCAATCATTTTCTCCATACTATGGCAACGGAACTTTATTCTAATCATGACCTAAGACATTTTGGCTTTACATGTGACAAGTTTGAATCGGCTGTCATTCCGCGTGCACGCACATGTACGGAGCGGCTGCTTTTTCTCTTACGTCCATGGATGGCGACTTCCGAGCGGGGATCCTTCGTATTCGCCATTCATGTTGCTTCCTTCAGCAGGTCTTATTGTCTCGCGCTGGCCGAGCGCGAGGCATGCTGATTTGACATGCGAACCTTCTTCCGATTAGCCTAGGGATTGAACGCAACGGGGTGGGATGGTCCCACTTACAGAACAGTAATAACACAAGTGTCGCCATGCATTGTGAGTTCAGTGGCCTCCAAGCCCGCAAGGGGAGACTGACAGAGAGTCGTGAAGTCGCTTCCTGATACCACTATCCAACCTTGATAGACATGGGAATCAGTGAATCATTTCCGATTCCATCTCGTCTGCCACGCAAGGTAGAAGGGTGGATGAAAAAAAAAAACAGGCTCGAATTGCGAGAAGCCTGTCTATCGTAAAAATCTGTTGTATTCAAGGAGCGGGATAATGGAAAATTTGGCTGTTTCATGAATCACGGTGGCAAGTCTAAGTTTCCTTCCGCTTGGAAATGTAGCACTGCGGTTAGATATCCAGCGTCATGCATCTCACGTCATCCACGCTGCTTCAGTCCTAATCATGATTATGGACAATTTTGCATTCTTTCAATGTATACATAGAAGAGGCATTGAACGAATTCAGAGAAAGAATGAACATAGGAGTGACAATTCATGGAAAGAAAGTCAGCATGATTCGTTTCGCAGACGACATCGCAATATTAGCGGAGGAAGAAAAAGACTTAGAAAGGTTTCTAAATGAAATGGAGGGAGTGTTAAAGGGCAAGTACAACATGAGAATAAATAGGAACAAAACAAAGGTGATGGTATGTGGAAGATACCGGACGGGAAAACTGCAAGATTAGGAAACGAAGAGCTGGAATAGGTTGATGAATTTTGCTACTTGGGAAGTAAGATAACTATGGATGGACGAAGTAGAAAGAAAATAGCAAGCAGAAAAACACAGACAAAGAAAGCATTTTACCAAAAGAGGCAACTTCTGACATCAAGTTCTGTCAACCTGGAAGTTAGAAAGAAATTCTTGAGGACCTATGTAAGAAGTGTGGCACTGTACGGACGTGAATCATGGACAATTGCGACTACGGAGAGGAGGAGATCGGAGGCGATGGAAATGTGGTGCTATAGAAGGATGCTGAAGATTCCCTGGGTGGACAGAATAACAAATGAGGAGGTACTCGGAAGAGCACACGAAAAGAGAAGGGTATGGAAAAGTATAGTACAAAGAAGAGACCGATTGATGGGACACACGTTGAGACATGAAGGGATCCTAAAGACCATAATTGAGGGGATGATAGAGGGAAAGAATTATAGAGGAAGACCTAGACTAGGGTATACATGACAGATCATACAAGATGTGAGTTGCAACAACTACAGAGAAATTAAAATAATGGCAGAGCGGAGAGAGAAATGGAGAGCTGTGACAAACCAATCTGAGGATCGATGACTTGATGATGAGAGACGAATTGAAACGATTAATCATTTTCAAGAAAGACCTATAGATCGTTACGATTTAATCGTAGGCTTATTCGGACACATCGGTCGACTGTCTGGCTTCCGTGCATGATGCCTACTTGACGCGCGTATCGAGGTCGAGCGTTCATGGTAGACCAATCCCTCTTAAANCATTTTCAAGAAAGACCTATAGATCGTTACGATTTAATCGTAGGCTTATTCGGACACATCGGTCGACTGTCTGGCTTCCGTGCATGATGCCTACTTGACGCGCGTATCGAGGTCGAGCGTTCATGGTAGACCAATCCCTCTTAAAAATAGATATTTTTGTGGGAGCATATCCACTTACTGCCAAGTCACTAACAGCTCCGCTGGTCCCTTTTTTAAAATCTCGTGTGAGATTGCAGTGACGATATGCTTTAGTCACCAAGACGGAGCCATTTGGGTAAAGGCAATGGTCCATAGATTTATTTATAGATTAAATCTATGGACTGTGGTGAACGCAACCCTGAAAATGATGGCGTTATCCATATGCCACGTGCAGCGCTTCTTACCCTACTGTCTACGCAGGAGTTGGATCGATATTTTGGGACTAGGATTGGGCCTCAAGTTCTTCGGATCCTGTACGATGCCATCGATCCACACGAAATGTCGAAATTCCTCTTACCCAAGATCATCCGTGCAGAGATTCCCCGTGCCGGATGAGAAGGTGTCGTGGTGTGCTTCGTGGCCTGATTACAAACCCGTCAGCTACACTTCTCCTGATATCCTCGATAAACCTTTTGCTGACCCCGAAATTGGGTGAGATCAACATCGTCCAGGCATAGCAAATCCATACGAGAAGGCCTAATGAGGCATTATCTATAAAATGGGGCTTGGCCTTGTCTCACAGGCTGGCAGAATAGGAGTCTTCCCCCTGGGTTAAAATCTCATTCTATTGCAGGAACTATGTAGGAGAACCTTTTAGACATCTAATCACGCAGTCAGCCTGTTGCCCATTCTGGACTAATCTAAACCATGTACACATAGCTATGCAGTTAATTCAATGTTACTGGCAATGTCCAGGGCAGCCCTGAGTGAAGGTATATCCCAGACAGGCCACAGCCTCCTTGCATCTAGGGTAAACCCACCTTCCCCATGCCTATCGTTTTTGGAGCCCTTTTTCTTGAAACACTCTACCATTAGGCTATGTAACAAGTGAAAACTCAGTTGAAGTGAAGAAAAAATAAATTAGGGTGAAGGCAGTCATGGCTGTGTCTGTGCATATGGCACCATAAGCCGGCTACTGTACGTCTTGTGAACACCATGTACACCCTGTGTACACCCATCCTTTAAGCCCAGTCTTTGCCTTGTGACTATAGCCATGTACTAACTAAGTATAAAGCATGGGTGGAGGAGGCCTAGAATATATATTGATAGGTGTTCACAGGCCTATGAGAGGTGGTCACATAGCCCTGTATAAGGTGTACACATAGGCTTATAGTAGGTGTTCACATAACGAACTCGGGGTGTACATGGTGTTCACAAGACGTACAATAGCCCCACAAGCCTTTGTCCCTGTCTCCAATGTTCCAGATGAATTCAATTGGAAACATGCAACATTGATTGGAATTGTTTATTTATAATATAATTTATAACACTAGCCTAATCTAACTATAGGGGAAACACAACATTCATAGGTGGTATATGCTTAATTGTATCCTGTCATGTGAGCAGACATATTATCAAGGGCTTGGTACAGTGCAGACACTGCTGGTGGTCTTAGAACCTGGAATGTTTGGTATTAATGCCCAAGTTGTAAGGCTTTGGGCTTTCACTCTGAAAAGGAGAAGCAGTAGAGGTGTGAAGAGAATAGAAGATATGTTGCCCTGTTTGTAACTAGATCTAGGGAAGCCTTGGATGGTTCTAGGACAGAAGGTTGAAAATTTTTTGTCGAATGGCAGGAATGTCGACGTCATAAAATGTCGAAGGGCAGAATGGGAGAGAGTAGAAAATGTTGAAGCATAACATAGCAGAATGGAGAAAATGTCGAAAGTACCAATAAGTCGAAAGATGTCGATAAACTTTGAATGTGCTCGTTTGTAGCTAAGTTCATTCTCTTTCCAAGTAGAGTTAGCCTTTGTCTCTTTAGTTTAGTTCATGCTGTCGTCACTCAGTAATCATTTCTTTTGATGGAACTGCTTGAGAGCATGCCTGAAGGAACAGAACCCATATCTTCTTCCGGGAGATGTTCATTGATGGGCAGTGCCCCAGAGGCAGACCATGAGAGAAATCAATGTTCCCTCCAAAACCATGTAATGTGAGGGACAGAGGACTCGGAGATGAGCTTTGCATCAATAACCACATTGAAGGATGGCATAACAAGTCAGGGAACAGTTTGATTGGTGGAAACCAGCCAACTATATTCCATTTCCTGGATGTCATTGCTGAGGAGCAGTCGGCAGTTCAGCAGTGACTGATCGAGCTTGAAAGGGGAGAACCACCTCGAAATGAAAGAAATGCGATGTTATAGGAGAAAGAAAACTTAAGGAGATAAGAGTATGATTTGAAGTCTTTGCTCAATTTCTTGAGAGGTTTAGCCTATATAATCAAGTTTTGAATCAATTTGACAATTGGACATTTGACTGGATCTCTGCCTCCAATTTCTTGATATGCTTATTGACTCAATAAGAGTGGTTTTCAACATTTTTTCAGCCCATGTCTTTGCCTTTCACCTTTTTTGTCTTTAACCATAAGGACGTTCAACGTTTGTCATCATTTGACAAAAGAGAATTCAACATCGTGCCATTCGACCATTCAAGAGGATAGCCTTTGGATGTAGCCACTATAAAATTTAATATGTTTTGGCATGCTGTATGAAGTACCCGACCCTCATTGAGGATAAGGGGTCTACCAAGACTAAGAATGGGGCAGTCAACTGACCATCTTTTAATTGACCATTGTTGACAGCTCTTTTTTTTATTCAGTGAATTAAGAATCACTGATAGAGCTCATAACTATGGTCATTTATCCTCCAGCACTAAAACCAGAGAGCTACTTCCATATAAAAGTTATATTCATGCAGTCTGTGAAACATTTCAACCTGTTGAGTATGAAAATATTATAGCAAACTACTATGTTCAAACTACTATGACCTCTCACCTGAGTGGCTTAGAGTGTGTGTGCAAGCATAGCCTGCTGTTCAAGGTCTTACAGCCTTGACTTTGATAGTTAAGATTCAAGATCTAAGTTACAGCTTTAGAACTTTAGTTTAATGCAAGGTTTATCATGGTCTTGGTCAACAGTCTGCATCAGAGCATCAAATTATTCTCAGTGTGTGTGATCAAGGGACAAGTACTTGGATCATGCCTTGGCCAATGCTTAAAAAAATTAATCCAGCTATGAAGAATTCCTCTGAGCAAGGCAACTGATTTTTCTGAAGGACAAGGCTGGCTTATGTTTAGAAAGTGACATCATAGTGGTGCTCTGCTTAGACCTAGGACTGTATGGTAAGCTTTGACTTTAGTTCAATTGGTCCTACTTGGCCTCATGTGACTGTGGTCTGGGTTTCAATAACTTTATGGTTATCATTCTTCCACTGGGAAATTTTTAAGCCTACTCCTTAGACACAAGGTAACTAAGTTGTAGGCTTAAAAAACCATATGTGATGTGAAATGAAGCCACAGGGAACAATCTGGAAATTCTTCAAGAAAGGAATTGGCTATAAAGCAACTACAATATGCAAATTTCCAAAAATGACCATGTTGACCAGTCAACATCCCATTCCTANAAGTCAGGGAACAGTTTGATTGGTGGAAACCAGCCAACTATATTCCATTTCCTGGATGTCATTGCTGAGGAGCAGTTGGCAGTTCAGCAGTGACTGATCGAGCTTGAAAGGGGAGAACCACCTCGAAATGAAAGAAATGCGATGTTATAGGAGAAAGAAAACTTAAGGAGATAAGAGTATGATTTGAAGTCTTTGCTCAATTTCTTGAGAGGTTTAGCCTATATAATCAAGTTTTGAATCAATTTGACAATTGGACATTTGACTGGATCTCTGCCTCCAATTTCTTGATATGCTTATTGACTCAATAAGAGTGGTTTTCAACATTTTTTCAGCCCATGTCTTTGCCTTTCACCTTTTTTGTCTTTAACCATAAGGACGTTCAACGTTTGTCATCATTTGACAAAAGAGAATTCAACATCGTGCCATTCGACCATTCAAGAGGATAGCCTTTGGATGTAGCCACTATAAAATTTAATATGTTTTGGCATGCTGTATGAAGTACCTGACCCTCATTGAGGATAAGGGGTCTACCAAGACTAAGAATGGGGCAGTCAACTGACCATCTTTTAATTGACCATTGTTGACAGCTCTTTTTTTTATTCAGTGAATTAAGAATCACTGATAGAGCTCATAACTATGGTCATTTATCCTCCAGCACTAAAACCAGAGAGCTACTTCCATATAAAAGTTATATTCATGCAGTCTGTGAAACATTTCAACCTGTTGAGTATGAAAATATTATAGCAAAAGTTCAAACTACTATGACCTCTCACCTGAGTGGTTTAGAGTGTGTGTGCAAGCATAGCCTGCTGTTCAAGGTCTTACAGCCTTGACTTTGAAAGTTAAGATTCAAGATCTAAGTTACAGCTTTAGAACTTTAGTTTAATGCAAGGTCTATCATGGTCTTGGTCAACAGTCTGCATCAGAGCATCAAATTATTCTCAGAGTGTGTGATCAAGGGACAAGTACTTGGATCATGCCTTGGCCAATGCTTAAAAAAATTAATCTAGCTATGAAGAACTTCTCTGAGCAAGGCAACTGATGTTTCTGAAGGACAAGGCTGGCTTATGTTTAGAAAGTGACATCATAGTGGTGCTCTGCTTAGACCTAGGACTGTATGGTAAGCTTTGACTTTAGTTCAATTGGTCCTACTTGGCCTCATGAGACTGTGGTCTGGGTTTCAATAACTTTATGGTTATCATTCTTCCACTGGGAAATTTTTAAGCATACTCCTTAGACACAAGGTAACTAAGTTGTAGGCTTAAAAAACCATATGTGATGTGAAATGAAGCCACAGGGAACAATCTGGAAATTCTTCAAGAAAGGAATTGGCTATAAAGCAACTACAATATGCAAATTTCCAAAAATGACCATGTTGACCAGTCAACATCCCATTCCTAGTCTGTCACATCTGAGTCATGACATAAAAATGGAGCACAAACTGTGCAGGAAAAAAACAATATAAAAGTTGGCCTTGTTGACCATAATGTCTATATTGACCAGCCAATTGACATGTTTTTAACTGACTGGTCACTAACCCATCTCTAACTGAGACCCAACATTAGGCCTAGGCCCACTGTACAAAGAATCATAGGAATAGGTTAGTTGAAGAGTTGCAATTATCCATGTCTCAGCATACCTTGTCAGGTTCTTCTCCATTGTTCACCTGCTATGTCATGCATTTGTTACAGGGTGAGAAACTTTGAGCCAAAATGGCATCATCTTGATGGAGAAGTGGACAGAAGGAGCCATGTGGGGACCTATCCCATCCAAAATGGCATCCCATTGTGAGAGTTTAATTCTTGTTCTCACTGATACCCCATTTTTCCTGCACTTTATCTGCACTTTTTCAAAGGACTCTGACTTGTATACATGGCACAATCCATGCATTTAGGGTTCTATGTCAGGAAGAATTCTGAAGTGGACCATCAGCAGAATGGCACTTGAGATCTATAAATCACAAGCCTTCAATAACTAGATTATGTTGGTGAAGATTTTGGCTGAGGAAGTTAATAAATTAGGTTGTACTTTTAATGTTGAGATATGAGGATTGTAGACTGGGCAGGCATGAAGTGGCCTGCATAGTGCTGGTGCGATGGAAGGAATGCTCATGAGTATAGGAGATGGGAGCAGGCATGTTGAATGGCAGCAGAAAGCACCTGCTTCTGTTAGAACAGAAAGTTTCATCTCTGCCCCTGCATTCCTACAAAGAGTACTTTAATCACTTGGCCTTGAGACTCAGACTAATATTTCATAGCTTTCTCAGATTTGCACTAAACCCAAATGAACTAACTATCCTCAGAGAAATAAGAAAAAGAAAAGTAAGTGAACAGCATTCCTTGGGTGTTTTGGCTGAAAGAGTAAGTTGACTTTCTCAATCCTTGGCCTTTGGCCCTGAAGGGGAGAAAATAATCTGATTCGACTAACAATGGGAGTGTGATGATAGGTCTCACTTGAATGAAGAAGAATTACAGGCATGAAGGACATAAAAATACAGTATGGTCCACATGTTTTGAAAGCATGTGAAGGCTATAGAACCAATATGTAGCACAGCAATGCAAGCCAGCAGACACTGGGGCCTGGGTGGGTTATGTGACATTGCTGCTCCATGATGCACACATAGAGCATAACCATTATATCCATACATTAATATTTCCCACTCATGCCACAACTCTCTCAACTGAATCTTATATTACAGTCATTATTCATGAAATACTTTAATGAGATATCTCTTGTGCCATTCTGCTAGTGGCCCATCTTGGAACTCTTCCCTTTTTCAATTACNTGCATTTGTTACAGGGTGAGAAACTTTGAGCCAAAATGGCATCATCTTGATGGAGAAGTGGACAGAAGGAGCCATGTGGGGACCTATCCCATCCAAAATGGCATCCCATTGTGAGAGTTTAATTCTTGTTCTCACTGATACCCCATTTTTCCTGCACTTTATCTGCACTTTTTCAAAGGACTCTGACTTGTATACATGGCACAATCCATGCATTTAGGGTTCTATGTCAGGAAGAATTCTGAAGTGGACCATCAGCAGAATGGCACTTGAGATCTATAAATCACAAGCCTTCAATAACTAGATTATGTTGGTGAAGATTTTGGCTGAGGAAGTTAATAAATTAGGTTGTACTTTTAATGTTGAGATATGAGGATTGTAGACTGGGCAGGCATGAAGTGGCCTGCATAGTGCTGGTGCGATGGAAGGAATGCTCATGAGTATAGGAGATGGGAGCAGGCATGTTGAATGGCAGCAGAAAGCACCTGCTTCTGTTGGAACAGAAAGTTTCATCACTGCCCCTGCATTCCTACAAAGAGTACTTTAATCACTTGGCCTTGAGACTCAGACTAATATTTCATAGCTTTCTCAGATTTGCACTAAACCCAAATGAACTAACTATCCTCAGAGAAAATGAGAAAAAGAAAAGTAAGTGAACAGCATTCCTTGGGTGTTTTGGCTGAAAGAGTAAGTTGACTTTCTCAATCCTTGGCCTTTGGCCCTGAAGGGGAGAAAATAATCTGACTCGACTAACTATGGGAATGTGATGATAGGTCTCACTTGAATGAAGAAGAATTACAGGCATGAAGGACATAAGAAATACAGTATGGTCCACATGTTTTGAAAGCATGTGAAGGCTATAGAACCAATATGTAGCACAGCAATGCAAGCCAGCAGACACTGGGGCCTGGGTGGGTTATGTGACATCGCTGCTCCATGATGCACACATAGAGCATAACCATTATATCCATACATTAATATTTCACACTCATGCCACAACTCTCTCAACTGAATCTTATATTACAGTCATTATTCATGAAATACTTTAATGAGATATCTCTTGTGCCATTCTGCTAGTGGCCCATCTTGGAACTCTTCCCTTTTTCAATTACATGGGAGGCTGCTCATTAGTCTGTGACAGGGGTGGCCTAACCAAGGCCTGTGAGCCACATGTGGCTCTGGGGTAGTTCAAATTTGGCTCATGGTGAAATGCAGAGTAAAGTGCAATTGTAGCTCATGTGTTCCGAAGGATCAGTTATGACCCTATTAAGGAATTTATTCTTCATTTCTGGTTAGACCTGTGATGGCAAGTGAGATTGTAAGATTCTTTTAAACTTAAAGGCCTTTTGGGAAGGACCTGTGTAACTAGTCCCCCTCTGTCTGTGAACATGTATGGGAGTTCAGTATGGTGCTGAATTCTTTTTTTTGTATCCTCTGTGTATTAGAGGTGACATGGCTAGTAGCAACTTTAAGGTTTGAGGTTTGGAAAAGTGCGCAAGAGTATCTAACCAGCACACTTGAGCATTGGAATGACGTAAAGAGAGTAAGACTCTCCTTCTGGGTTGTCATGTATTTGGAATGCACTGCCCAGTTGGATGAAGGCATGCATTTGCAGGTTTCACTGTGAATGTGAATCCATATCCTGGAGGTCACTGTTCCATTGGAAGCTGGATCTTTTTCAATTGAACAGAAGGCCATCTCTGCCCTGCAAGCTCATCAAATGAGAAATTACTTTCTTTCTTTTGACATGTGGAATGTGGCAGTGATTTGGTGTATACTTGATAAAGTTTGGTGGTCATTTCATAGCATCTGGTGAAAACAGAGGGAGAAGTTAAAGTTAGATTCATTAAGTCACTGTGAAATCATTTGGAGAAGGTTTTGAAGAAGATTTTGGTGATGTAAATGAACTGTGTGACCAAGTGAAACATTTTGGCGATGAATGAACCTTGTTGTGATGAAGCCAACACAATTTTTTTTATGAATTAAATACTTACCATTCCAAAGCTGGGGAGCATATGCAACTTTGAAGCATAGATACACTCTTATGTGTAATATAACTGTAGTATAGAAATTAAAACTTGCTGAACAGGTGTCTAAATTTTACATGAATATCATTAGTGCTGCATTGCAAGATTTCACAAATTAATCAAGCAAGACAAATAAGGTAAAGAGATAGAAACAAGGTTGACTGATAGGCTCTGCCTGAAGGCCTGTTTTGACAAGGCATGATCAATTGAGAGTACTATTCAATTCACAAGGAATGTGAATCTTTTTGTAAAATTGGATTGTTGGTGCTAGAGATTGTATGTGTAAGCTGGTGTTTGTCTTGTGGTTCTCAACCATATGAAGATTATTTTATGTGGCTCATAAGGTCAGGGAGTTTGGCCACCCCTGGTCTGTAAAGTCATGTGTCCCATTGCCCATTGATCCTTGCAACTGCCATGGTGTACTCCCACATCCATGATCATTCATTACTAACATTATTCTTCATTCTTCCCCTGTCTAGCGTGTACCCCCTCATCCCCCCTGTAAGCCTCCTACATCTGCTTTAGGGTTACTTTTCAACTTAGCTTCACTTAGCTTGTTTATTGGCTTAGACTGGTGTATTTCAGCTACATATACCAGCACTGGCATTTCTGGCTTCTGTCACTGGCATGTGTGACTTTATTCATTTATTGCAAGCATCAATAAATAATTAAAAAAAACATTGACTGAATAGACTAGCAATGAATAGCTCACAAATAAACTACATTATTTAACATTTAAAATTTATTCATGAATCAACTTGCATGAATTTTGATTATTGTTACAAAGTAATGATATAGTAATTGGTACAGTTTCTTTAAAAAGCTTGAAAACTATTTGTTCATACTTTTTATTGTGAACATTGCTCTTTCTCTTCATCCATACAATCATAATGCACAATGAGAGCAGATTGGCTATATCATGGATCTTCAATAGGAATCCAGTGGGTCGGACCGGAGTGAAGGGCCGTGGCTTGTTGGGACGTTGGGGACCAAATCATGCAGCTGATCCCATAGTCACCCGCTGGAAAGATGGGAAGGCCATCCAAATGGACACACAGAGACCCATCCTTCAATTTGTGGCCATTCAGCGACGAGACAGTGAAGAGTGGGCCATCCCAGGAGTGGGTATTTCATCTTTTTCACATGATCATGTTGAAGAATAGCATGCCCCTTGGGCCTTCTTATTTATCACCATATGGAAGGATGAGTTTCCAATTTATCTCAATTTAGGGGATGATTGACCCAGGAGAGAAGGTGACTGCGACATTACCACGGGAGTTCGCTGAAGAGGCACTTAATTCAGAATCTTTGACTGAGAAACAGCAAGTGGAACTCCTTGCCATGCTTAAGGACTTGTTCTCAAAAGGACTTGAGGTAAATTGAGAATTTAGACTTGAGAAAAATACTGAAGAATCTTGACAGACTGGCATATTTTATGGTGGGGGGGAGGGGCAGAGTGGTGGCCACCCTCCTGGCAGTCCTTGAATGAGGCTGAGTGCCACCTCTGAAAAAATGCTTTTCCTCCCAAAAAAAACCTCAAACAGGCATTAGCATCCCTTGGGGAAAACTTAAAAAACATAAGTCCTTGATGGATTTTATTAGTTTCTTGTGTTATGGCCTTAAACATTATGTTGGCATATTGCTGTTTCATAGCACAATTTTTCATAGGAGGAGTCCTTCCTCAATGCCCAGGTGCTCCATGAAGCATGTGGGTTTCACTGATACTCAAAAATCACACACACCAATTTGGTGTTGGCATTAAAAATGCTCTTTTAGGATTTCCTGTGATGCAACATGTACATTTTCTATTCAGAATTATGAATTGCACCACTCAAGACATGGTCATTTCTTGTTGCAACTCCATGCATAGGCTACTCTGAATTTTTGCAAAACAGTGCACTTTTGATCAGATTTTATGTTGTGTATTTCTTGTTTCATTGTTATATTACAAAGCATTGGCTGCAACTGGCACAGTGAAATCTTAGTAGTCATTATGGAATGATTTTTGAATTGCATTTTTTTCATTGCATACCTTGATTATAGAAACAAGGTAAACTTAATTCCTTGTATTGATTACTGAAAATTGGCATACAGGTTATCATAGTGACTATTTATGGAATTTTAAAATTATTATCTCTCCAATAACCATTTCTTTTATGTGCATAGTCTGTCTGCAGAGCTCAGAATGATGTCACATCTTTCCTCCATCCCCTTGTGACTGGGAATTAATTTTCCTTTTCCTAACATTTTCTTGAGGCATTCTTTTTCAAGATTTATTGCCAGGGCACATTTTCTCTGTGAAGTGTGGTGGGATCCTCCTACTTTCAAGGAAAATGTAAATGCAAAATAAATATTGCCAAATTTTAGAAGGTCTGTTGTTAGCTTCACAACTGGAATGTTGATGAATATGCCTGTTGACTTTTTTTTATTTTGTGTGGCTACCAATGGAGGATGTGCTGAAGTATAGTCTATCTGGTCCAACTTTGCAATGCTGTCATCAGCCTGTCAAAACATCATAAAGGCTATCAGTGGCAGACCTACTGTAGGTGTTCCTGGCACTTGTCAGGCATCTTATCAAGATTTCTAAAATCATTCATAGGTGATGCCCCCCCACCCCTCTAGGAACATTGTGCTAATGTCTAGCAGAGGGGGTAGGGATCAAAATGAAATCACCCTCTCCTCTCAGGGGAGAGGAAGATGAAGAAGATGGCATTTAATGACTCCTTTGAGGATTATAAGTGTGGCAGGGTTGGACTGGATAGACTATACCATGTTAGTTTCCTTAAACCCAACCAAGGGTCAGATAAATTAATTCTCAGTCGTTTCGAAATGGAACAAGGGAACATGTGGCAATTCCAAGAAATGCAAATAATTTATAAGTAGAAAATAAATTATTACCTAAGATTCTATCTTAACCCTTTGAACCCCTGCTTCCATACCTGTATCTGCCCCCCACCCTAGGTTCCTGGGCAGGTTAGAGCACCTGTTGCTTAGGCCAGAAAACCAGCTTGATGGGTTCAAAGGGTTAAACAGCTGACCATAGATAGTCACTTATCAACAGTCTATTACTTGCCCCCTTGGCTCTTGAACCAAAATATGACTCGTTTGCACAAATTTCAACATGAGTATGATTGTCAGGTGTATCATGGATACGTAGATGACCCTCGAAACACAGACAATGCATGGATGGAGACAGTGGCATATAACTTCCATGATGAGGATGGGACATCTGTGGGTCGTCTCTCCTTGCAGGCGGGTTCTGATGCACGCAGTGTCCAGTGGATGGACCTCTCATCCCATCTTGCTTTGTATGCATCCCATTCCTGTTTCCTGGAGACTGTTGCACGTATGCATGGTGCTCATTGGTAATCATAAGAAGAATGCAGAATTTTGATGCATAAAGAGTGCAACAAGAGGCTCCTCATTTTTGGAAGCTTGATCTCAGATTTTTTTTTCATTCATACCCTGGAATGAATGTCAAGAAATGAACTTTATGTTTTTGGTTTTTTTTTGCCTTGCAGTATTCTCCTTTGAAAAGGAAAGGAATAAACAAAGGTTAGCAGATGTAACAGTGGTTCCTTTACTTTAAGACCTTGTTCTTTCTTCTCTAGCATCAAAGAGGTTGTCAGTAATTATCTAATGCAGATATGTTTACATGAGGCTTGGTCTCATGACACTCCCAAACCTTATTTGTGGATGATGAAAGCACTCTTTTACTTGTGGTCCAGCAACCCCAGATGCACTTTGAGTGAAAGTTGATGAAACTGTTCCATCTTGGATCTAATGTCATTACTGAGTGTGTGATCCTTTGAAAGTCATCCACTATCCAATGTAGTTTTGAGATTAACATACAAAATTTCAGCACTCCAGCTCAAATGGTTCAGGAGATTCACAGCCTCAAAGTTAGCCCCCAGGGGAAAAAGTGTGAACATGGATCAAATGATTATCTTTGGCCCTAACTGAGCCAGGAAAGAGTTTTTGCGTTAAAAATGAAAGCTGAAACAAAGCCGAATTGGATTTCATTGTTGCACATTTTTACATCTTTGTTACAAAGAAGCTCTGGCCTTTCGTAACTTTGAAAATTTTCCAAGATGTCTGACATTTCAAACAGTGGGAATCAGGGTAACACAATAAGCTTCTGCAACATTGTAATACTAGGCAAAAGCAATGAGGATAGCTAAATCTGAACATTTTTTCAAACAATGACAAATTAAATTTGAGGCCAACTTTACCATATTCTACTCACTTCGACGGCTTAAACTGTGACACTGCACCTGTTACTAACAATAGTACGTACCTGCGATTTATTAGAAATGCTGGAAATAGCCCCGTGTGCCTCCAGAAATGCATGAATACGTTGAACCTTGTTTCTGAAGATCCTCGCTGGCAGTTGCAATTTTGCCGATGTTCTCTTTGATGGCTATCCTTCAATTCTGGGATACTGTGGGGATACTTCCGTAGCCGTCTCTGATCCGTCGAAAAATATCCGTCCAATAATCCTCTTCCCCGAGATCGAGCGCAATACTCCAAATTTCTGGACGTGTAAAGCGTGTTGCTGCAAATTCATGGCCGACTGAACATCGATTGTTTTGGCCGTTCGCGTAACCAGATAAATGGAATCACGCCTATCGGAATATCATGTCCAAAATGTTGAAGTTTTGTGCGCGATCTCGCGTAAGATGGTTATCTGGACGGATATTTTTCGACTGGACCAGAGACGTCTACGTAAAGAACCCTCACGGTATCCCAGAATTCAAGGATAGCCATAGGCAAAATTGCAGCTGATGACTTCTGAAGGCCAGGGTCTTCAGAAACATAATTTAATTTGTCCGTCGTAGCTTCCGTCGCTAACTTCTGCTATGCAACTCGTTCATTCGCCACCGCACATCACTGCTCCGAAATATGTGGGATGACTTTCCTATGACCCCCGGAGGAAACAGGAAGCATACCCTGCAATTTCCGTGTCTTCCTTACGTGTAACCACAAGAAACGAAATCGCGCCCGGCCCATGCTGTTGCATCGCTGCATTTGCGTCCTCGATCACCCGTGCGTTTTCGACGGCGTCTGCGTCCGGCCGTAGTTTCGTACGACGTTCGTACCTCCGTCTCGAACGACACGAGACTTCAAACCGGCCGAAAACTGCAGCAAACTTAACGGCAATCGTTCAAAATCGCGTAAGCAAAGTCCAGGAACGGCTTGCCGAATGCATTTCCCAAGGTCTGCTTTATTCGACGATACGAAAACGGATGAGAATTTTCCAGAGGCAAAAAATGAGAAAGTCACAGCACAACAGGGAAACGCATTCCTGGGCAAAACGAGGGAATTCCACAGCAAAGATGGAGAAGTGGAGATACCGAACGGAATCAGTATGGAGAATAGAAGAAGCCCCGACGACCGCGTGGCCGTCGCATGGGCCGAAAGCCAAAATACGGGTTGTACCCACGCCCACGCGTGCTGCCTCTGAATCCCCCCCCTCGCCCCCTCGGCGGGCGATTGGTGGACGAGATTCCAGGTCGATTCGTGCGCTTGGGCATCACCTTGATCTGACGGCCCCTGAAGAGGGAGTCGTCCAGGGCCATCGCCGTCCCGACCGAATCTTTCTCGGTGAATTCGATGTAGGCGAAGCCTTTCGGGTGGCCCGAGTACTTATCGCAGAGGATGGTGACCCGGTTCACGGAGCCGCAGCCGTGGAAGTGCTGCTCCAGCTCCTCGGCGGTGGCACCGTAGTCCACGTTTCCCACGTAGATGGAACGGGAGTCGATCTCCATCTTCTCTTCCAGCGACATATTGAAGGGGGTGGAGGATGCAGGACTGCCCATGTTCATCTGCTTGTCCACTTCGCTCTGGAGTTGCTTCAACTTCTCGGCTTCTTCCTCCATCTCCTTCACGCGGGCCTTGATGGCCTCGAGCTCGGCATCGTCGTTGAGGCCTTCGGGATCGTTGAAGGAGGAATCCCCCCCGGCTCCGATCCCGTTCGAGGCTTCAAGGTCCACGTCCTTGTCTTCGAGGGCCTCCAACTGCTCCGATTCCGTGAGCGTGAGCTCGGCCGCGTCCTCCGCCATTCCCGGCTGCAATGGAGCTCAAACAAGAGACACAAAAAGGGGAGAAGGACGGGGATAGGGATCGGGTCAGACGGTCGATCGGCAACTACTTTCTTTTCTTTTTTTTGTCTCTTTTCTTTCTTTTCTTCACGGCACAGTCCAGTTTCTTTTCCCGTTCTTTTTTTTCTACGCACTCTTTTTTTCACTTTTTTTTCTGTCTTCAGTCGTTTTTCTTCCTTTCTTCTGTCACTTCTTTTTCTTTTCTCTCCTTAATGCTGTAACAGATGGGAAGAATTTGTAAAACTAAATCAACTAGTCGGGAAAGGGGAGGGAGAATGGAGTCTCGGTGGGATGCGAGAAGCAGGGGTCAAACTTACTCTCACCGGGGGGTGAAGGCCCTGTGGGGAAAAATCTAAAAAATAAAATGCCGAATGCGACAAAAAAAAAACTAAATTCCAACATAGTTGGAGATTACCCAACCCCAAGGAATCTCGCTAGAAACATGGATGAAAATCGGATGCGACTAACACCAAGGCAGGGACGAACGACATCCCGAGAGTTCCACGACTCTCCTTGGCTTCTCGATAATGGGCTCGTACGGTTCACATTTCCTTCATCATCATAGAGTTGCAAGAAACCAGTCTGAATCCTTTTATTAGAAAGGCTCACTGGGCCATACAGAGAGAAATACAACATGGCAGAGCAAAAAAAGAAGAAATGGACAGACACAAATAACTTAGGTGGAGATAATGCAAATCCAAAAAGGGATACCAAGTGGGTGGTTATTGGAAGCAGCCAACATCAAAGGAACGAGATGCCTATCACTGGAACAGGTTTCTCATGGAACGGAACGCCCGATTTCACGCGAGAAGAGACTTCAAGAGGACACGAGGCACTAATTTTTTTTTAATCCACGCCATGCAGTCGATATCGGATGAGGGTTCCCAACCGGTAACGTGCAAACGCCAACTTTACTGCTCGGGTCCGTTGGCGACCGGAGCCCCATTGGCTTTGGCGTCGTCACCGTGGGCGAGTCGACTCGGTTTGCCGTTTTGATTTGGCGTAGGCTCTTTGCTAGGGGGCATCGAACCTTGCCCATTCTCTGCTGCACCTGCAAATGAATTACAGTGATGCAGACAATATTTTGATAGGCCCTCCATATGGCCAAGAGATGGTTCTGCCAGTCGTGGTTTTCTCGTGTGACCGATGCAATGAGGAGGTTAACCCCTTCAGACCCTGCGTCCACTCCAGTGGGCGTCACGTTTCCTATGCTTCACTTGTGCTTTCTCCCGATTTTCATGACATTGCGCCCCATAGTCCATTACGGTGGGCCTCATTCTGCAAGGCTAACCTTAAGAGGAAGCCCTCTCTCGGCTGTCAGTTATATAATACATAGTTATATAATTGTATATTAATGTACATATAGGTAAGAAACGTAGATGTAAGAGTTGGTCAAATGAGCAATAAATGATATATTAGCGAAAGCTATTATAATTTATAATTAGCAAAAATTAACTTATAACTAATATATTCTATAATTCATAATAGATATAGATATAAAATATAAAAAAGGGGGGAAAATGCAGGATTTTTTTTTCGATCGTGGCTTCCGTTCAGGTCTGAAAGGGTTAATTAAGCTCTCTCCTCTCTCACTTTTCTCCCAAATACAACACATTGACCAATGGAAGAGATGATGGAGACTCTTCCTGCGCAGGCGGCCAGCAGAAAGGGAAAAAAAGGGCTCACAAAGGCTCGTAATGAACTAAAACGGAGCAGATGGCATAACTGTAGCTGTCGGGGTAAAACCAACAGAGAGACAGGCAGCAGACAAAGCATCATGACAAAAGGTTGTGTTACAAAATGCTATTAGTTCTACTATGTTATTAAGAGTATCATGCTATTTCCTATTTAAATATATATACTAGTATATATTTATCTAAGATGCAGCATATTATTTATAATCCCTTCAGATGATATACAAACGGAATGGAAAAAAGAACGTTTTCTTAGCAAAAGGAAATCACGAAAACGTTTACATGGAGGGCTATTGTACCATTCTATTACGTAATAGAACCCGCACATAATTCTGCTCTCCTACACACAACACCATCATGTGGGGTTTCCTCGGGGTGCATAAAAAGTACCTATACTAACTTTGTTCTTCGGTATTCTTCAAAAGAACTTAATTTAACCCTTATAGTGCAGCACGGACGATTTTTCGGCCACGTCTACTACTTCTAAAAATGCTGTAGGCTGATTTTTATGTCATCTAAGAACCCTAACTACGTGAAGGAAGAAACCTAACGATAAGCTGTGGCCGAATAATCGGCCGTTGGCATTTTAAGCAGAGTACATGTGGCCGAAAAATTTGTCCATGGCACTAAAAGGGTTAAAAAAGGTTCCCAACGAACTTCAACAGGATAAAAATCAGAAACAAACGCTACGAAATGGCATTTCTTGTAGTCAGAGCCGTACCGAGAGGGGTGTGGGCAGTGCGCCCGCACAGGGCGCCGATTGGCTGCCAAATCGCTACAAAATATGAACTTTTGCAAATTATCCTGAATTTAATTAAATTACACAAATTATTACGTAATGTATTGTCGATGCTGGAGAAGCTGGAGAGGTATAGAGGGGGGGGGGAAGTTGGATTGATCCGGATCTTGCACAGAGCGTCAAATATCCTCGGTACGGCACTGCTCGTAGTCGAATTAAAGAGGGCCTGATTAGTATAAGGAAAGTCGACGTGCTCCTCGACTGTGCGTGCACAGTTAATGGGAAACGGTTTGGTGGAGTAACACACCAGGAGCAGACGCAGAAGCTCGAGGTCCACTCGGAGTCATGCTTCGACCGTGTCGCTTGCGCCGGCGCCTCCGGCGCGCTCCCTGACTTCCCGTCTCCACGCTCGACACCGATTCTTTCCGTAACGATACCACAACCTCAACGTCAAACCGAGTATTCCCGTTGGCATCGGAGAGTCCTCCCATACATTTTAAAATGCGATCTCAATCCATCCTCAAGTGGAACAGCTTCGTGAGTAAAACATGCTCGATCATATATCGGATAAGGCGAAAAAAAGTGCCGCACCTTGAAACTCTCTGGTATTCACGAAACAGCAGATAGCGCAACAAAGTTTCTGTTCATAATTACTTCTACCTACGTACCCTCGAAACATTCCAAAATGTCGTTTTTTTCCCAGTCGTTTTATCACACAACTGATTTCAAAAAAGTAACTCAAAAATGAAAATTGCAAAATGTGCAAAATTTTCGGATAAACAATAGAGGGAGAGTGATTGGTTCGTGCGGTGTGCATCAATTTCAGGCTAGTATTCCTCCGTCAGCCTGTGAAAATGTTAAATGGAATGTAGGCATATAGTCAAAGGGTTCATTCACAAGCAGCGAGAAACTGTTTCATCTGTGTGGAAGAGGAGCAGTAGGCCAAAATTATCTTAAACAGAGGAAAACTGTCTCTTTCAAAGAAGCCATTTTTTCTCACGAGGATAATCGAGAGTTGGTCTCACTTGCCAAATATTATCAAAGACAGAGGTCAGATAGAGAGGTTCAGCAGATTGCGAAGTGTGCAGCACTCGTCAGTGCTGCAGGTCGGCGTCACGGTGCAGCACAAAAATAAAATTTGAGTAGGTTTTTTTGCAGAATTGGTGAAAAAGCTGGAGATGAACGAAATTTAGGACATTTTAAAGAGTAAATATGATAGAAGTAATTCTGGGGGAAAAAACTTGTGTTACCTGCTGCTTCCTAGACACCACAGAATTTCGAAAAGTAGTAAGCTTTTCTTTGCCTCACCTGGTATATACTGCTTGGAAGAAAATACCGATTAATTTTAAAATTACACAAAGGATTTTAACATGGACCTCTCCAGATATTATAGGATATAAGATATCCTTGAGAGAAGCCTGCTCTTTCCCCAACTAGTGTAAGTCCCAGGGAATTTAATTAGGAGAGGCCAGGAGTGATGATTTCACACAGAGCACCGTCAAGTGCCAACATGCTCTTTTGTGACTGTACATGCATCACAAACTGGCCTTTTCGGTAGTTGTTGCATCAACACTTTTGCAAAATGTTAAAGTGTTAATACTGTTGTTTTTATTTGTCCTAAAGGGAGTTAAAGATGTGGAAGTTAATCTGAATAGTATTTTTAAAAACCTCAGAATCCACACGTCAAAATATTAAACACAAATGAACTCCAAACATCTCCCTCATTCCAATCCCAGCATTCTGTCCCAGCCACTGTTGGATGAATTATGCAAAAGTGCCAATCATATAATGTGAAATAATGTGTGCATAATGTGAAAAAAATGGAAAAAAATGAAAATAAATAAAAACAAATTAATGATAGAAAAGGGGAAAAGACAGACCTTTATCCATGCTGGTGACACTTTGAGCATCATTGGCAGACTCCTGATCCTCAGTGGCACGTGACCAATCGTTGTCCTCATCTCCGGCCTGGCTGGGTTTACGACGAGATCCACGTGGAGCAGGGGGCAGGTCCTCTTGTGGGCCACGTGAAGTCGATGTGGCATCCTCACGTGGCTCATAACCACGGTTTCCCCAACCACGTCCACCTATATAATGGGCTTCCCATCCTTGTTTCTTTCTTGCACATTACCTTGTACAGGTTCATTGAATGTGAAATCTTAAATTCATCGCAAGACTCAACTGCAATATTTCCAGCTGATACCTTGGGTTTTGTTCTATTATTTTGATTGTTCTATTATTTTGAGTTTTATAACTGTGCAGTACTGGCACTGCACGTGCACTCAGCATGCATGTCATATACCTACAGCTTTCATTAAAAAAAGCAGGCCTTCAAGCAGCAAGATGCAGTTGATTCCATATTTATTCCAAGTTTAATGATGAATGTTTTAAGGTATAAAAAACATTGCTTTCATAAGAATTACCCTGTGGATGTGGAGATGTTGATGACCCCAAATGCAAAGCTTGCATATGGCAAGCAAATGCGATGCCTCACTTGTTAGTCAGCAAGTGAAGAAAAACAACTCCAAGCCACAAACACTACCCAACCATGCAGAGGGGCAGGGACCATAAGGCCAAACTCAACAGTCTCCACAAGTTAGTGACTGAGAGAAAATGAAGATCCACTTGGGACATTTTGGGATGGAGACTGAGAAGACAGGAGAGCAGAGGAGGGCATGTGGGAGAGAGATATGGGACATTTTCTGCAAAGTTCAGCCAATTTGGAGGGCAGAGTCTGAAAGTTGGAGGCATTCTCCTACTTGCTGACCAAGCTCCTTCCGTAGTAAAGAAACAAACACAGAAGGGGACACAAACACGATATGCAGCCTTAAATGTTGTGTGTAAATACTAGACGTTCTAGGCAAAAAATATCCTACAACTTCACTGATATTATTGCCATCATTCTCATATTAATGGACTGCATCTCATGAGGTGTGCCCCTTTCTCGCTCATGAATCCTTGGAACAATAGATAACTTTTATTACAAAAATTTTCTTCTGCAAACTTAAGCAGACTGGGAACACAAACGAGGGGAGGGAACGGAAAGAAAAAAACTGAGAAAATGCCTTGCGTTTTCTTCAGGAGACTTTGCACGTCCCATCATGAGTGTAATTCTCAAGAAGTCTTTGATCAATTGATTGAGTTCTCTCTCTCTCTCTCATGTCGTGGAGATTGGTCGATCAAGGGGATCCAATTAGATCCCCATTCACCACAGATTTAGTTTTCTTAAGTCGAGCGCATATAGCAGAAAAAAAAAACACATCCACTATCTCCTGTGTACTAGTGTGGAGGGCATCTCAGAAATATTCGAGCTCACATCTGGTTGACATCAGATCTTCACAACAGTGTGTGCACGTGCCCTCCGATAGGTGGAAACACATCTGGCCAATGGGGGAGACACCACATGAGGGTCTCTCCCCAGGTATTCCACAATGCCATCAGCACACCATAAACCAGAAATTTTTCCCAGGGCTTAGTCCTACATGATCGATATATATATACAAGAGAAATCTGCAGCAAGAACCTACAGAACATGGGGAGTATGCTAATATGCTTTTCCATGCAGGCAAAAACAAAAGCCAGGTTTTACTGAGAAAGGAGGAGAAAAAATTTGAATTCATTAAAAGTTCATGCCGAAAGAAGGGATGGCTTAATGCTTTCACTTCTGTTGTCTGTAGGTTCCTGTAGGCTAACAGGCAAGGGCAAGACAGTCACAGTGCCAGAAGCTTTCCCAAAAGAAGAGAGAAAGAATCATGATGCCAATCAACGAAAGACACAAAAAAGTGATTGGAAGTCTCAAAAAAAAAAGAGCCGCAAAGCAGAAAATGTTCCATGTCTCTCGTGGTTAGTATTCACTCAAAATCACAAGAGGAAGAGATGAAAACAGTCAGGCTAAGAGGAGGGGAAGAGGAAATAAGAGGACAAGAATCGATTTCCTATCAGCACTTGTCTGATGTAGAAAATTATTTTCTCATCAGAACAAAGAGCATTGGTTCATGTCACTAGATGTTCATTCAACATCTCATTTATCTCTTTTTTGAGGTCTCTGGATGTAACAGGACCAAGTCAACATGTAAATTTCATGCTGCAGATTGATAACTGCACGATGCAGCGATGGATCAGTAAGTCCGTATCCGAGAATCGCAGGTCCGAGTCCATTGCAGGCAGCAATGATTGGTAGGGAGAGAAGAAGTTTCAAACATCACTGGGGTAGCTATAAATAAGAATAGAAAAAAAAACAGGGAAAGGAAGGGCAGATGAAAGGAAAGAATGGCCAATCAATGCTGCCTGACTGCAATGTGTCTGAAGTTGAGGAGAATATCACCATTTCAAACTAAGTGAGAGAGAAGAGGAATGAAAGGAAAAAGTAAAGAGGAAAAGAAAACAAAATGAGAAACAGGGGTGAGGTAAAGCCTCTAAGAGGGGATTCCAAAGGAACCAAAACCGGAAGAAAGAATGCAAGGGAAGAGATCTCTCTATCGCTTTATGAAGTGTTAAGCATTTGGAGGTGGTGGGGCTGAATTGGACTGTTGCTGTGGTACAGGTTCCCCACTGCGATGATGGTTAGGACCACTTCGATTTCCTCGTCCCCTCCCCCTCCCCCCACCCCCTCGAGGTCCCCCTCCCCGGGCATCCCTATGATCCCCACTCCCTCCCATGTAATCATTGAGGGAAGGAGTATGGTTACCGTATCGAGCGGGTGGGCCTCCACGTCCGCCACCACCTCGCATACCCCGCCCCCCACGAGGCCCCCCACCCCGACCTCGGCCCATTCCGTCCATTTCACCGTACGGTGGCCTGCCAGGGAGAATCACACAAAGAATGAAAATATGTCAATGGCATTCTCTTAATGACACACTGAACAAGCCCTCTCTCAAGATCTAATTAAGAGCTTAGAACTGGCAATTTTGAAAGAGATCCCAGTCAATTCTACCTAAAGATTATAGGCATTTTTGGAATTCTGACAAAATGAATCAGGCCTGATTCATTTCACACAGAAGCTCCAGTGGAAAAAAACAAAACAGTTTTGAGAAACCAGGGATAACCACATTTAGGAATAAAGGATGTACTGCTTGATATAACAAACTCAGAGGAACAGGCTAAAATAAATTCATTATAAGGAAAATTAGTTAAATAGAGGTTTTTTATACTGAGTGTTGACTGTACTTTTGGCCCACCCCATTCCTCCACAATCACAGGTGGAAAATATTCACATCTCATTCCCATTTTGCATATTTTTTAAAAATTCAGGTAAAGGGGTATAGTAAAAATTTTGACAATGGCATAAGCATTGACAATTTCATTTTTACTGCAATTTAAGGCTATCATGAGTAAGCTCTGCTTTCCTAAGAAAGAGTACTCTGGTCATGATTTTTGCCTAAAGTGAGGCAAAAAACCAAAATAAAAGGTGACAATAGTTGCAATAATAACAATTCTTCAATGTGACTGGTCAAGGTAAGTGTGCATGGAAAATGGGATATTAATTTAGAGGTTTCCAATGATCAGGATGACAGATAGTATAGACAAAAGACTTTGATCTGGAGACTGGACTCACAAGAATTTGAACATGCAGTGTTTCAAATTTCCTAATATAAAAAGGGCTAATAAATAAATTCTATTTAACAAGCTGGACAAGAGGACTATAGGAGTAGAAAGAACTCACCGATCTCTCCTGGGTGGAGGGTATCCAGACATTCCACTCAAGGAACTGCTGCTCTGCATGGTGCGTAGCTGCTGATCTAGCTGAAGTTTTTCCTGACGCAGATGTTCCACCTCCTACAAGTCCAAAAGAACAATAGGACATTTTTTGACAAATATACTACCACCACCTCCATCCTTTTCATTTGAATTGATTAAGAAGATCATTCTGTCAGCAGGTAGGGATTCAAGTTTGTATTATGTATATATATAATAGTGAGAGAATCATGCTGATCAAGCTAGACCTACAGCCAGCACGAGTCCGAGCTATTGATAGAAAATGAGAAGAGAATACTAAAAAAAGCTAAGGATAGCTAAGGAAGCCTAATGGACTGGCAAGTTGTAGGAGTCTCGTCAGGGGCACGATCCTATATACATATCCTATATACATATATATATGTATATAAGTCTAGCTTGATCGGCATGATTCTCTCACTAACATAATAAGCCTAGGTGTCTGTGGTTGGCTGTGCCTGGCTTTGAAACATCTTTTATCTATAACCATCTGGAATAGTTGTACCCCTACACTACCAGTGGTGATTTACTTGCATAGTAACATTGTAGTTGGGCTGTCATTGATTAGCCAAGAACTGCTGTCTCTTGCAGTATTTCTTGGCAGAACTTTGCTATAGTTTCTTCTGTAAGTGAATGTCCATCTTAGGGACAATTTGGACATTGTCATCTCTCTACATGCTGAACGTCATCTGTGGGCTGCTTGGCTTATAGCTTAGTTCCAGTAGCTTTGTCGTGAGACATTTTGAGCCAATCATTAACAAACGATGGCGCGTGCAGAGACTTCAGCTGGGTTTGTCCTTGGAATGGGAAGTACTTCCAAGTTCTATCTAATACTCCTGGCACACTAGGTTGACTGCAGAAACAGGTTGTAACAGCTGTTGATGCTCCAGGCCAACCGTGCACCCCAACAAAGCCGGTCAAAAGGCGTCAAAAACCTAGCCTAGAGCTTCGCTTTCTTTTCCTTTATAGCCTTCTTCCACCTGGACCCCCTTTTTCTGCCTGGCCTTTCACAATAGTTTCAAGATTCCTGTCAGGGTGCTCGCGTGGGTGCTGGGCTGTGGCTTATCAAGGGCTAGCCCGTCTGTCAGTGAATGTCCATCTTATTATATTCGGCTTGGAAGGGGGCAATGTAAACAATGTAAAATGTATGCATATATATATATATTTGCCAATCTCAAACAAATACGGAGAGGTAGGTGGAGAAGATATTTTTCCCTCTTTCTTAAAGTGAGACTCCCCCTAGACAGGTTCCAAAGCCATAGGCCAGGGCTAACTGGCCCAAGGACTTAGACCTAGGCCGGATTATAGCCTATGGACCATAGGCCTAAGCGAGAATACAGGCTCTAGGTCAGGAGCCAAGTTCCTCCTCTCTGCAATAGCTTTCCTCTTCTGCCTTTTCTTCTCTTTCTTCCTGTCATGTTTCTAGATCTTTTTCCATAGGGAACAGTTATATTTCTGGTTCAGAGTTGGCTCTCTCTGACACATACTCAGACTCGGATTGCAGCTAATTTATTACTTATCCCAGTTAATGATCCCAGTGCATTGGCTTTCTCTCTTTGATTAAAAGCCTAGGGAAGTGGTAGAACCCTTCGGGCATAAATCTCCACACCAGGGGAAACCTCTTACTGCCAGACAGTGGTCCTGCAGATAGTGAATTGAGCATCGTCATGTCTACTTGCACAGAACGCTCTGCACTAGGTTCCTCTAGGAACCAAAGGTGTGAACCTCATCTAGCTAATGGACTGTGCAGGAGCGGTGCATGTAGGACGGACTTAAGCTGTGGAAGCTTTCTGTTACTTCTGTTGCGGCAGCTACTGTCCTCTTCCTTAATGATCATTCCCTGGTATGGAGATGTCAAAAAGGGTTTTACTACACTGCAAGTTGTTTGGTAGGATCGTGCCCGACAAGACTCCTATGACTTGCCAGTCCATTAGGCTTCCTTAGCAATCCTCTGCTTTTTTAGTATTCTCTTCTATTTTCTCTCAATAGTTCGGACTCATACTGGCTGTAGGTTTGGCTTGATCGGCGTGATTTTCTCACAAATATATACATATATATAGAGATTGAATAGAAGAAAACTGCAATGTTTCTCCCAGCCAAAGCCACCCCACGGCAACAGGCAGGAAATGTAGCCCACACACCACCCATCACCCCGAAAAAGCCAAGACCAAAAACAGCAACACAGTCAACTTACAAAGCCATGAATACCATAAACTGCTGGACGCAAAGTAAAACATTGACAGTACCAGACAGCAGGTGTTACATCAGTAAAGAACGTAGATATAAAAAGTAGTTGGCCAAATCAGCAATTACCCAAATGGGCAGTGAAACTGCATTCATTCAAGGTGTGCCTATAGATTGAATAGAAGAAAACTGCTCTGTTTCTCCCAACCAAAGCCACCCCATGGCAACAGGCAGGAAATGTAGCCTACTTTTTATATACTACTTAAACATAAAATAAAATAAATATAAATATAAATATATGTATATATATATATAAATAATGTTGAGTCCTATGTTTAATAAAGAATGGCTTTTTAAGCGATTACCTGGTAGGGCAGTGGCCTGCTTCCCACCAAGGCGCATAGATAGTGAAAAGGAAATACCAATGGTGCCTGTCCCACCCAAACCAATCTAGGCGATGGGGGAATGCACCCCACTACAATGAAAAATTCCTTAAATAAGAAGCCTCCTGTTTTGCCGAGCGACCCATTGCATTTGCTGATGTACGCAATTGAGTCCACTTCGTACTTTTCTCCATTCTTTTGTACTCCATTCTTCTTTTCTCTCATAGGCTTGAGCCATTCCGAGCCATGCTCTCGCTCCTTTTCCTTCATAGGCTCAAGTGTCCGTCTGTCAGTGCCACACACTGACAGACGGACTTAAGCCGTGATTGCCTCTGAGGCATTAGGTACAGTCTAACTATTTAATTCCATAGGCCGTAGCACCTGGCAGTAGAAACTTTCTGGGTAGGGTTTGTTTGGACAGACTTGCGTCCTCAACCCCCTGACGACGTCGTGATTGCCTCTGAGGCATTAGGTACAGTCTAACTATTTAATTCCATAGGCCGTAGCACCTGGCAGTAGAAACTTTCTGGGTAGGGTTTGTTTGGACAGACTTGCGGCCTCAACCCCCAGACGACGCAGGCTGCCTGACAAATTTCTAGGATAGGATAGGGAGACAAACTCTGAACCTGCCATAATTTCCATCCCATGCATCACATAACTGAATATAACAGGAACCTAGTTGGCCCTTTTCAACCATTTCATACCAATGTCTGGTCCCAAAAGGTAAAAAAACCATCTATTTCAAAGCATAGGCAAGGGGGCAGATTTTAAGCTAAAGGAGGTTGGAATTTGTCTCACATACACAAATAAAGCACCTGTGTTTTGTGCATTCATCATTTCTTCATACACTCAGCCCTGCTATAATCTTACTAATACAGCGGTACCAAAACAGAGACCCACAGACTAAATGTGCTTTGCAGTGAAAAGAAACTCACACTGAACACTATAACCATAACTGGATTTTTAAAATTGTAAGTGTGGCATGCGCAAGTTTGGTCACATTCGTATGCTTGAAAATGTTGTGAACCACTGTACTAATACAACCCTTATTACGAATTATTTATTAAATAGTTGAAAATGAATGTTACATACAACAAAATTTAAGATAATTTCACATTTTCCTTTAGTTGTTTAATCCAGTTTTCTTTTTTAAATTGAATACTGACACGTCATGTCAGAGATTTCTGATTGCGTTAAAATGCTACTTGCATATTTTTTGTATGCAGTGTGTTTGCTTTTCAAGATTCAAAAAAACATTTCCAACCACTCTTTTCTTTTGCACTGCTCATAACTTTTCAATTTTTTACATTTCTTCATTGGCTTTCACAAAGCCCTTAAAAAAGTAAAGTGACAACTGCTCATGACCTTGGTTCCACAGAGTAAGGGTGGGGGGGTTGGAGGGGCAGGTTAGTGGGGACTTTCTGAGAACAAAGAAAAGGAGCTTTTGTTTCTTTTCTTTTCAACAATTAAAAAAAATTATTTCAACTTTCAAAAAAGTTTATTCCTATAGTCAGGTTATTCTAATAACCCCATTCCTCAATGTGACCTTATTTCATAATGTAACTCATGGTTAAAGAATCAGGTTCATGCAATGGTATTCCATTCAGTAGAATATTGCATGAAGTGGTATACTTGTTATTGGAGTCAACTGTATAAGCTTGTTAGCCCATGCTTATATTGCCCTATCTTGCATAAATACCGTAATGACTGAATTAGGATGTTTTACTTCATTTTCCAATATGTGCTTAGTTTTAGTTGTATTTGCTACATGCATTATGCAATCCTCTCCTAGGCAATAAAGCTGATGTTAAACTTGAAGTTACATTAAACTTCCAACTTTCCCTTTACTTTCACCATGAAAATTTATTCAGCTTACATTTACATAGCAGCCAAAAGATAAGGTTTATGCCAGAAGTACTCTAAATACTCTGCTATCAAATGACTGATTCCATTATCAGTTCTGAAACCTAATCTGAATCTAAATATCTGCCTTTGCTGAAAATATTTATTTGAAGAAAAGAAACCCATGAGCAAAAACTGATCTTTCACACTGTGGTCACATGTGGCTTCAATTATTTCATCCCAGTTAGTCACTTTGACAGACTTCTATGTAACTCCAGAGAGACTTCTATGTAACTCCATTTCTAGACATGGCATACTTATACTAACAGAGGCATCCAGCATTGCATAAATGAATATTTTATGTGTCCCATATTTGAGGGTTTAATATTGTTTTAATGCTTCTTTGGCAAATGCAGCTAGAAATTGTTTAAAATATGTAGCTTTTACTACACAACCAATAGGAAAATTCCAGTAGCAAGCTGCATGTTACACTTAACTTCTTTTATGAGCCCCCAAAATGTTGACTCCTTCAGGGGTCTGCAGTAGTGAATTGGTATCTGCACTAAATAAGGTACCGCTGGGGTCCAAATTTTGAAACGCCACCTAGCCTATGACCATCCCCAGACCAAATGAGGAAGCCATGCAAAGTTTGGTTGGACAGGGATCAGATGCATGGCCGTGCATAAAGGACAAACATTCTGAAATACAGTATAGATACAGAGGTTTAGGCCTTCCAGCAAATACAAAGATTTCTTTGGTGAGGTACCTAGAATGAAATTTGCATATGATTTTCACCAGAGGAATGCTGAAACTCACCCGTAAATGAGCAAGGTGGTACTCAAGGAGAACCTTAGCATTGCTGATGCTTTCCACAGTCCCAACGAAGACAAACGGAACCTGGCCATCTTCTCGTGGAATGGTTGGCTTGGGCTCATTATCCCCCTCAATCTTCACCCGCACCTTCAGAGCAGAAGGATCTCGTTTACACCAGATACCTTCAAAAGAGTTAGAAGTGAGATAAGGTTTGCACTTGCGGGAGGGCTTACCACACCACTCTTGTCAACGATCTCCTGGATGATACGGCCATTCTTGCCTATCACCTTGCCCACCAGACTGCGTGGAACCTGGATGGACTCCTCACTGTACTCTAGCAGATTACGTGCCTTCTTCACAGCATCCTCTGTCTACATCCAAGACAGAATGTTTTGAAAAAAACAAAACAATTTGGCAACAATAACATTCTTTTCTTAGCCCTTCTCAGACAGGTTTACGAGTGAAGTGAGAAAGAAACAAAAAGAAAAGAATTACAAAACAGGCAGTCTTTAATTGCAGTTACAACACACAAAATAAAGAACAATATTCTGACTTACAAACAATGACAGAGCTAGGTTGTAGAACATCATTACTGACTTAGAGATCATGGAAACCAGATGGATCATACTGCAGGATGTGTTAAAAACTGCAGAATTGATTTTAAAAATTAGTTTAATGCCAAAACAAAAAGAGTGCAACTAAAGCATTCGATCAGATTATTGCACTATCAATTTCAATGCCAGAGTAGACAACTGGTGTTGAACATATTTTTTATTATGTCACACTGCAGCATTGAAAATAAATCAACATCAGAATGACAGCTCCATCTGAGAAGATATAAATGAGACTTGAGCTTCCAACTCAAGCTTTTGCAAATTCCTAGGTGGATTTTGTGTTCCTGATACTTGCTAAACTTTGAATCAGAGAAAATGCTTATAGGAATATATATTTAAAAAGTTGCTGTCTTCAACTGGTTTGCATTAGGAGAGCTACAATATTTCAACAGGATTAGATATTAGCCAATAATGGCAATATTGATTCATATAGGTGATCAGAAACCTGCATGCATTGGAAATATTTTGATTTTGCTGTTTATTTTTACATAAAAAGGAAGGGGCTGACAAGAAAAAAAAGGGCAAGATCCAATGGCAACATATAGTTTTAGGCAAGACATACAGAGTTTTTAAGTTTTGCAGTCAACATTGTCATGCACATCCAGTTCCACATCAGCTTTGGAATACACCCAGATCCCTATCTATATCTTTAGCCTATGACGAGGGAATCCAAAGAGAGGAGTATGTTGGTAAATCAATAACTTGAGACCCAACCCCTTTGTCCCTCCCATTGCCTAAAATTGACCTTGCACTTATCAAACATGCTATTTTGTATGCCTACAATGCATGTGTCCATAAGCTGATATAATGAAGCAAAGTTTCATTAATTCATATACTCATTCATTCTTGCCAAAGAGCTTCCATTAGAATGTGTTATGCCCACAGACCTTCCCTGTAAGCACTGTGTGAACTGCAGTCTCCTCCATTCATCATGATACTATTACCCCAATGGAATCACACATCTGCGTGTATCCACAGATACGTGGAGTCCTGTTTCCCTCCTGCTGGGAGGATTAAGACTCCTAAAGAGAGGAAAGTGACAGGATTGTGATACAACCCTTTACTGATCAAGAGTAAGAATTTATTTAGTTTTCTGGGCTTCATGTAGTTCCAAAACAAAGAGCTACAACTTGTAGTATGAAAAAAGAAGGAGGTTAATGGTTATGATATAGTAGAAGATAGCCTTGACAAATGGGACCGTACATGAAATGGTGTCTAGGTCCTTGAACCTTGAGCAAACCCAAAGCATGCTCTAGGGAGTTTCTTAAATTTTCATCTGGAAGTGGTTTTCACTCTAGAGATTTTACAGAAGATTCTTTGACAGGAAAAGAAGGGCTCACATCTCCATATATCCTGAAGGTACATGATTCCTCAATGAGTTCAACCTGAGTGACTCCATCCACCTTGCGAGCTTGCTGGATATTAGCACCATGCGCTCCGATTGCAAGTCCCATCAAGTCCTCACGGACATGGAACGATTCAGTGTACCTGTAATCATTATCCCTTTGGCGATCATGTTCATGAGCATCATTTCTCCAAATCAATCATGAAACTCACCCGCCATGATTGTGGAGTTTGGTAGATTCCAGCTGCCTGGCAGCCTCCTCGGTCCGTGAGAGGAGAAGAACCTTCTGGCGGAGGTTGCGGAAGTGCATGGAGCTGAGCATTTCGGCCAGATTTTTTGAACGGGAGGACCGGGCCTAATCAAACACAATCATCAGTATTATATTCTTGAAAAAATTTTCCTTGTACATCAAAGGGGAAGAATTAGTTTTCAAATTCAACCATTTCTATTTGACATAAACCTAGGAAATGAACATATGGTTTCTAACCAATATAACGAGGGATGCATTTTCCTCATTGAACTTCACAGACACTGCATCAATAGCACGCTTGAAGTCCTTGTCTAAGTCATCTACCTTCCCACTTGGTACCTGCCCAAACCTATGGAGAGAAGTGAGTAACTTGTATGCAGAAATCCTCTGGATGTAGATGAACAAAAACAAAGTTCTCTTCCTTGAATGGAACAGTTTTGGCTATTAACCCCTCAAGTTATGCCTTCATTCCTTTAAGGACCAAATTTTTAAAAATTAAAATGAGGATGAAACCAAACTTTGCAGAATTCTATTCATTCTGCCATGATAAGTTCATTTGAATACTAGTTATTCACAATGTCTGATAATGCACATTAACACTTTCATATTCTCTCTGCACCCCTGGTATCCTATATGAAACATTTGGTTTCAGTTTTTTCACCTTTTCACAAAACTGAACTTTGGACTTCCAGTCTAGGTCATTTTCAGTTGAGTCATTTGAATGCAACAAAAGAGGCTTTGGAAAAAAAAAGTTCAGCTTGAAATTTTGGTTGAGGAAAATATGATCAAAATTTCCCAATCCCACATTCCAAGTTTCTAGTCTAGGTCATTTTCAGTTGAGTCATTTGAATGCAACAAAAGAGGCTTTGGAAAAAAAAAGTTCAGCTTGAAATTTTGGTTGAGGAAAATATGATCAAAATTTCCCAATCCCACATTCCAAGTCTGAATCACTCATGCACATTGTAAACTCAACCTTGTTGAAAATTTATCATAAATATATCTTGTACCAGTGATAACCTCTTCAACCTCTGGTACATAAAATGATAGATATGGGTTTTATTTTTCCCCCACTTTTCATACCAGTAACTATGTCATGGTGCAGACCCAAGGTATCATTAGTGATACCTCAAGCTGAGCACAGTGCATGTAAAAATTATTCATCTTAATTTTTCCCCAATCATTAGCAAAAACATTCCAAATCAACAATATACATTTTGAAGAAAAAAAAAACATTGTATTCATACACTCATTCCTGGCAATAAAAAAATTAGCTTGAGCTCAGGATCAAGAATACACCCAGAGAAGTTTAAATTTCTACTTATGGGTGTCTCAAGACCCAACACTTTCCAGAATTTGTGAGGGTGGGAGACACAAACAAAATGAGTGATGATTAACTTCTACACACTAGATTCTTTTGCTTTGTCTTTGGAATGAAGGAATCTATAGGGTCATGGCTTGAGGGGTTAAAAATGCAAGCAACTGGCAACCTAATCAAGGAGTTTTATAGCCTCGGCACCAACCCCCATCCAAAGCTACAATCACCATCACCAGATTCTCATCCAGTCATGAGAGAGAAACAGAGGAGAAGGAAATGATGGTGCTTGTGAAAGGAGATATACAGCATGAGCACACAGAATGAATACTTCTATGATATTAGTGCCTGCATCTATCCCCTGCATTTATACTACAGGGTGGCCCAAAAGTCGTGCTACCATTTAAAAACTGAATAACTTTTTTATTTCTTTATTATATGAAATAATGTTTCTGTATATGACAATATAACATTCGGAAATTTTTTTGGTCTACTTATGGAAGATGATGTCACGCAAATGACCTCCATTTGCCGCCTCGCAAGCGCATGCATGATTTCGCAGTATCAGGCGCCAGTCACCGTTACTGCATTGCCTCTCTCGTCCTTGAAGAAGTATGGACCGATTATTTTTTCTGAAGTTACACCACACCAAACCATGACTCTGAGTGGGTGCAATTGACACTGATGGATGGCGTTCGGATTTTCCATACCCCAAAATCTGCTGTTTTGTTTATTGACAAAGTCATTCAGGTGAAAATGGGCTTCATCACCCATGATTAATTTGTGAAGAAATTCGTTGTTGTTTCTTGCCACCTCTTGAAAACGAACCGCATAATCCCATCGTCGCTGGTAATCTATTGGCTTTATCTCTTGGACTAATTGCACCTGAAATGTTAGAGCAATTTGTCCGTCCAGCTGTTCAGGACACACTGGAGGTTTGGTGGCAACAAGATGGAGTGACCGCCCATACCGCGAGAGAGACTATGCAGCCCCTGAGAGACATGTTTGGAGAACGATTAATTTCAAGAAATGCCTATTTCAACTGGCCAGCCAATTCGCCTGATTTAACTGCTCCAGATTTTTTCCTTTGGGGCTACCTAAAGAATCGTGTTTACAGTACTAAACCCTGCAATATCCAGCAGCTGAAGGAAAACATTCGAACAGAAATTTGTGCACTGGAACCGGACACGCTGATCCATGTAATGGAAAATGCACTGGAAAGGGCATGCGCTTGCGAGGCGGCAAATGGAGGTCATTTGCGTGACATCATCTTCCATAATTAGACAAAAAAAATTTCCGAATGTTATATTGTCATATACAGAAACATTATTTCATTTAATAAAGAAATAAAAAAGTTATTCAGTTTTTAAATGGTAGCACGACTTTTGGACCACCATGTACTACCAATCATAAATTTATGCTCTGATAGAAATGAAATAGGTGGAAAATAAATTCACCAACAACAGCCTTATTGTGCAGCTGCTAAAGCCTTAATTCTCAGCAGACATTTAGGGATCATGCAGTAAACTTTATTGCCAGCCTAGCATCATAGATCACCATGAATCTTGGACCTAAGGTGTTACCATGTCTTGTGTAAATAACAATTATGCATTAAAGTAACAGGGAGTCTGCATGGACTTGAATCACATCCTACTGATATTAGACCCACAAATAGTGGAATTTAAATAGGTCACCATGGTTTTATCCTTCCTGTGCTTTTTTTCCTCATATCCCCTTGGTGTAAGTAATATATTGATAAATTTTCAATGAATTTTCATCAGTTGTCTGAGGCATCTGCACATATTTAAATTATGTTCACATATCTTAATTATAATTCCAGATTTATATTAAATCTTTTTCATTAAATTTGAATGAATGTTTGAAACTACACAGTTGTGGACACTGCATGGTATCATGGTAGCTGCCAAACAGAACCAGTTCTACTCAGATCAGTTAGATTTAGATTTCAGAGTAAAATCTCTCAAAGAAAGCTAAGTGAAAAGACAAGAGCAAATACCAGTTTAACAAACCTGTAGAGAGGCATAATGCAAATTAGGATGGATTCGAATCCTTGGAGGATGAGAACTTAAGAACTTTTTCGCTAGCTCAATAGATGGTATGTGTCTGCTACACAGAAGAGCAGACCTCGTACAAAGAATTGAGTACTGAAGCGATGGAAGTGTTTGTCACCATTTAGATATATTTGTTATGATCCACCTGCCGCGTGAATATACACATAGAAATTAGTTGAGTCATGAATTAAAAAGGTTCACGCCTAGCACATGTCGCCGCTACCGTCCGTTTATCCACCTGCACCACAAGGAGAAGGAAGCGATCAAAAACGGCTACACCGAGCGATACGTATTCGAGACGGTCGCAAACGACAATGAAGTCAGCGCCGCCTCGACTTCAGTGCGGCTCTACTACCGCTACGCGGTCATCGGTTAGAGTGACTTCTACCAGGCCGCACCCGGCTGGCATAGGAAAGTCAACAAGAACTCGTACGCTATCCGGTAAAAGAGCTGGGCGAAAGTGATGGGCCAGCGGGAGAGGAGCGTGGTGCCCGACGAAGCAGAGACGGCACTCGTCGAGTTCATCGTAGCTCGAACGAGGCGGGCCACGAGTTCGACTCGATCGACTACGTGCACCTGCGCAGATGAAGGCGTCTGGTGGAGCAACGAGTGGCTCGCTCGCTTTCTCGAGCGTGACGCGGGCAAGATCAGCGCGCGGGACGTGAATGTTGCGCGTGGCCCCCGAGACCGAGGACGGGGTGGAAGAGTTCATCGTCTCCGGGAGGAGCTCGACGAGAAATCCGTCGTCCCAAACGTGTTGCTCGACGTCCACGAACTTCAGCCGAAGGGCGGGTCGTCGCGCGGAGTCGCACGTCTCATTCATTTCGACAAGCTCGTCTTCTCGGCCGTCGTCCTCGAGCCGGACGAGAACGAGGATGTCATCGAGGTGAACTTTGGCGAAGGGAATGAGGGAGGAGAACTCGCCGAATATCCAAATTTAGGAGAGCGGCGTGACTGACACATGATGTGCAACTTCAAAACTACGTCTCACGTGGATTTTTTTAATTGAAAAATATCCACGTTTCTTCTCAGCCTGGCGAAGATGCTCAAGGAAAACAGATTTCAGTAAAGTAGTGGGACGTAAAACCGCCCTTTTCCTCTGAATTACAAGACCGATGTCTTCCTCCAGGATTACTGGAATGAATGAAAACAATCCTCTAGAGAAGGCTTTACAATTCGCTTTTTTCCTTCAATGTATGTTTGTTTCCATCGGTGATCTCCCACGATCCGAATCAAGACAACAATAGATCGTGTGACTGTTTGACCTATAATTTGAATGCTCAGTGTGGCGTTAGTGCACTGGATAAGTAGGTTTGTCAAGTCTTCGAAAATTTTCCTCCCAAGTCTCATCATACTAATGCAAAAATTTGGCGCCGTTTGGATTTTGAAAATGAACTTCACGAAAATTATTGCTAGCTCTCAGTCCAAATTCAATCATTTGTGGGAAACATGCGGGGCATAGTTCTCATTAAATTTGGTGACTGATCCCCACCCTAGCTGTAACCCAGTCGTAGAACCGTGGTTCTCACAATAATCCAACTCCATGGCAAATTTAACTGACTCCATGAGGTGACCAAGCACAGACACTGAGGGCACTGGTACATAGAAGTTGAATGATCCGAACGTAAATTATCATGGCTAAGTCAAGGATATTAAAAAAACCTAATCCTCATTGCAACATCTCAACCATTCAATTTCAATCACACATAAAAAGATACATTTTTCACATAGAAAATGATAAGGCTTCTTTTCAGATCACCTTATAGAGGTGCTCTTCTCTTAACTAGGCCTAAAAGGAGAGTGAAAATGAAGGCATGCAATGTTCAGCATGCAAGAAGACATCATTCCTCATGCATGGAAAGCTGTGGATGATTGAGAGTAAGAGTGTACTGAATACATTGAGACATACCTGCTCTCTTGGATGTATCTGCCCACAAGAGTGTCACATGAAAAAACAAAACAACTCAATCAGCTTTCATCTTCCAGTTGAGTTTGTAATTATGCTTTTGAAAGATATCTAAAAAAGATTATGATTATCCACAAGTGTCATTCCACTCTAATTCACCCAATCCTCTGAAGTTTCTTCCCCATCCAAAGCATTTCCCTGGTTTTTTCAGTGGAAGACTTAAAAGGTCATGAGTCCAAGTGCTGTTTTCCTAGACTTTTCCAACTTTAAGTTTGACAGCATAAATTTGCCAAATTCATGGGCAGGGATTATGTGCAATGCTGGATGTCTCTTAAGTCATTTATCTACCTGGAGTTTGACACCATTATGAAGGAAAAAGTCCAAAAGCTAAGAATTTGTCCATAAATTGAATGCTTCAGCACTCTTTTGAGAGCATTTGGCCCATAATATGGGCCTTTACCTTACCTTCAATATCCCAGAGGAAAACATGAATAAAGATAGGCAAGAAGTGTTTCCTTGAAATTCTTGCAAAATAAAAAATAAAAGATTTATATTGTCTCTACAATGGAGCTTTAGTATTGAGCTACCTCTGGTACTTCCCTATTATCCTATCCCACCCTGGTGATCTTTCCCAAGTGTCAATTTTCCCGAGTTTATTTAAATCCTTTGATACCTGCTTTTGCAATAATTTACAATTTATTGAGATCAACTAGATCATATGCTTTGAGGGATATCCAGTTGGGGGTTGCAGTAGCTCCTTGAAGCTTTCTCAGTAACTGACTACTTGCAGTGAACTCAGAAAAAAGCCTAATTAATGAGGCTCACTGGCCAACTAATCATTGGTAAAATATCTTTTATCAGCTTGAAAGAGGATACAAATATATTGCATTATGTGAACCTAAATAAAACCTATAAAATAAACTAACCCTGCCCAGGAATTTGAAGCCATCATACAATTATAATTACAATAGGAAAAATCAGAAAAAATACACATATACTTCAGGTTATAACATTCAATAAAGTAAAAATCAGATTATTTCATTATGAAAATAATTCCTTCCTTGGTTGAAATTGGAGGAAAAAAGAGAATGAGAAGGAAATGGTAAAACTCACAAGTCCCGCACATCCTCAGGTACAGAGAGCTCAAACTTTACGAATGTGCTCTTTGTAATGGGCGGGTTTGTGTTCTTGGGCCGGAGCCGGTCTATGGGCAGGATCTCCTTGCTGTTCCCATCACCAGGCACATAGTCCACAACAAAGAACTCCCCTTTTATCAACTGCAATACAGGTGAAGAACAAAGCACCTGCATGACTGAGGGAGCTCTCAAACTGAACACTTCTCCCAAGACAGTCTCATGAGCTCCTTTTTGCCTCTAGCCAAGATTAGCCCAGCAGGCAACAGGTCCTCAGAGTTAATCTGCAGGAAATTCAGATATTGCTCAATGGGTGCTTTTTGTTATTATTGCAGGAACAAAGGATTCCTTGGAAGTATTAGGTTGTTTCACATGAAATGTCCGATTTTTCTCTATACAGGCAGTCCTCGACTTACGACGCTCCGACTTACGACACTTTGACTTAGGACTAGTTCCATGGCAATTATTTCAGTAACTACTAGTGCTGTCACAAATCTTTTTATATTGACCAAAAGCTGAATGTTTAGGCTTTACAATGAGGGTAGTTTAAATAGCGATTGCTTACGTATAAGGTTAGACGGGAAATTTGAAATCGGTGCAATTTAATCTGTGTCATGCTTTATTGCATTATGTGAACCTAAATAAAACCTATAAAATAAACCAACCCTGCCCAGGAATTTGAAGCCATCATACAATTATAATTACAATAGGAAAAATCAGAAAAAATACACATATACTTCAGGTTATAACTTTCAATAAAGTAAAAATCAGATTATTTCATTATGAAAATAATTCCTTCCTTGGTTGAAATTGGAGGAAAAAAGCGAATGAGAAGGAAATTGTAAAACTCACAAGTCCCGCACATCCTCAGGTACAGAGAGCTCAAACTTTACGAATGTGCTCTTTGTAATGGGCGGGTTTGTGTTCTTGGGCCGGAGCCGGTCAATGGGCAGGATCTCCTTGCTGTTCCCATCACCAGGCACATAGTCCACAACAAAGAACTCCCCTTTTATCAACTGCAATACAGGTGAAGAACAAAGCACCTGCATGACTGAAGGAGCTCTCAAACTGAACACTTCTCCCAAGACAGTCTCATGAGCTCCTTTTTGCCTCTAGCCAAGATTAGCCCAGCAGGCAACAGGTCCTCAGAGTTAATCTGCATGAAATTCAGATTTGCTCAATGGGTGGCTTTTTGTTATTATTGCAGGAACAAAGGATTCCGTGGAAGTAGAAAAAACAAGGTCTCGTGAATACTGCTTCTTCTTCTATATTTGTGATCATTTTGAAGAGATTCTTATTTAAATGAACCAGGTTTTTTGATACTTCAACATTTTAATTAAATGGCACTAGAAGCAAAGTAACATATGAACCCAAAGGTAATGTTAGGTGGCAGCTGTGGCTGAAATTTGGTTGTTGCCAGGATTTCAAGATATTAAAATTGGATAATATGTTTTTAAAAAAAATACAAGCTCACAAATTCAGAAAACTAGAGACTTGATAATTCAAACAGCATGAATCACAGATCAATGGAAGTTTTGGTGAGAGCTTTCACTTGGCACTTATTTCAAATAGGGCTGTGATGCTGGAAAGAACAGGATTGTGAACAATGCCAGTCACTATGAAGGGGGGGGGGATGAAATCTCCTCTCATCATGACTAGGGCTGACACTATCATCAAATTTTGTATTGATAGTCATGAAACCTGCTGGGAATAGGAATATTCAGGGAAGGGGGATTCTCCTAGTGTCTCCTTTTAATGCTATGGGACATATTTATATTAGTTTCAGGGTAGTGTAGGGAAATTTGGGCATCTGATATTATAACTCAATTACTGATTCAATAGGTAATTGTTTCTAATGTGAATATCTTCTTCAAATGCTGAGATGAAATTGGCTGAAAATTAGCATATAGAAAATGATGTATTATGCATCACCTATTCCTAATCTGAAACCTGGTTGTACAGAAACTGAATGTTACAATCGAATGCCATGAATGTGCAACTTAACAAGTTGCACATAGGAAAGTGGAGGGAGGGGGGGGGGGATGATAGAACACATCTCATTTAATTATAATTAACCCCTTAACTGGGTCAACTGCCTTTTGGTGTTAAAATTTCCACTCTAGTACTGTGCTCACTGCCTTTAGGAATCCCTGCATTTAGACAGCATGCAAAATTCTGATTGCAGAATTCAATTCAAATTGCAAATTCTGCAGATGCCAAAAGGCTCTTGGATACTCCACATATTTAGATGCTCTGTTAGCAAGTGCATGTGACAGAAAAAAACCTCCATGGTATGTAGCAAAAGTGCTTCCCATTATGCAAAAAAAACTCCCCAGTTAAGGGGTTAATCATGGCTGTTTGAAAATCCAGAAATGGTGATCCTAATTTGAATGGCATGGGATGGAACCTGATAAGCCTTGATTAGAAAGCTGCAAATTTTTTGTACATAACAGTGAGTAGGCTATGAAACAAGTGCATAGAACAAGGAATCAAACTTTAGTTTAAATCCCACCTTGATCACAACAGACCACCAGCCAAAGGCCTCTTGTTCATTGGCACGAGAATAAACTTCCACTTCCTGGGCCTCTGTATACTGTATATCCTTTGAAGGGAGGTCCTTGGGAGGTAAGCGGACCCGAGAGAACGGGAACCTTGCTGGAGGCAGCCAGTCATTCTCAAACGCTACAGCAACTTCATTCTCAAAGATGTCTGACACGAATGCCTGAAATATAAGTGTCATGTCTATTAAACAAGGAGCAAGATTTTCCTTGATAAAAACTTTGAACTTGAAATGAGCTTATTCAGCCTACTCTTTCTGGCTAGAAGTATAAAAAAAACGTTGGGATAAAAAAGAATATCCGTCTTCATGCGTAGCACTGCCTCCTTTCTTTGAGCAGGAAGGTCTTCTTTCAGGAAGCTTCAGAAGCAGTATCAAATAATAGGGGCATCTTTCTTATATTAAAATTGTTAAAATTCCTTATTATCATCAATTACTTCATCTCTCTTTGATAGCTCTAAAGCCAAACTTACAAACAAAGGCAGCTTTGTTCTGATCACTCATCACCATTATTAAGGATTCATATGATCACATTCTTCCATTCTGATGATAGCAGTTAAAGCATCCTCTTTGAGAGAATATCCCTAGCAATATCTTCTGGTAATGGCAACATTCTGTAGCAAAGGTTGTTTTAGATGATTCCACTTTCTCTTATGTGTCCTACAGCTTTATATGGTCAATACCATATATTTTGAGGATCAGAGGTACGAGTGACACTTAGCATCACCAACTAGTCCTCAATTCAGTGGAATCCACCAAGAAATGGTTATTGACTTGTGTTCCTCACTGTGCAGGCATGAAAGCTCTCCTGAATTAAAATATTTTAAAACAATTTGCAGGGTATATATATTTCTAATCATATATACAAATGTGGACATTTTTGTTTTACACAAAGTTTGGTGAGCCTTAAGGGTCAGTTCAGACTCCATATCAGAATCTCAGGTGCTCCCTTTAGGAAAGGAAGTTAGTAGCCCTATACATGAACAGGTGAGAACTGATAGGACTGTCTTGGATTTAGTCAACCATGTCAAGCACGCCTTGACATGGAGCCTCCGACACTTAGCACGCCTACCCCTGTTGTGGCATAGGCTAGCAGCATTCAAGCACATACACACTTCAGAGGTGTTCATCGAACAAATGCCTAGTTTTTGGAATTTTCCTGTGATGTGGCCCATCACTGGGTCTTTTACCCTAACAGGTAAAAAAAAAAAAACTTCCCAAAGCACAGGTAAGCCTATTAGGATCGAAAGCCCCACCTCACCATATAGCTTTCCAAATTGAAACTAATTTAATGAAACATAACAAAACCTCAATTTTGGGCACACACAAAATGAAACATTTGAAATGACTGCCCTGGCATCCTCCCTCGATCCTCACCAACATGAATGTTTCCTTGATCAAGTCCACACAAGGCATATCCATCTCCACTTCCAGAGACTTGACCATGTCTTCAACTTATATGATATTAGTGTGACCGATTAGCCCCACCTTACCCTACTCACTCTTGAAACATATTTGCTCAAGAGTCAAAATTGTAATTAAGAAGTGGGGAGAATTGGAAATGTTTCTGGAAATGAAGGGCAATGTAATTAGATATAAAGCATTTTCCTAGCTTCAACAGTTCCTTAGATTCATGCATTGGGAGCCACACAGAAATATACTCAGGTCAAGAGTTTGTGAATCTTCATCCTGGAAACCATGAGCATGTGTGCATAAATTCAAGGGTGATTTTTAAATGAAAACTGGACATTGATGAATGCAATATACAATGTCAAGGAAACCATGTAAATTACAGTGAAAACTCGTTAACTCAAACTTTTAGGGACCGGGCAAATCGTTTCGAGTTATCTGAAGTTCGAGTTATCAGGAATCGCCCCCCCCCCCCCCCAAAAAACTCACGGTGAGGAGCATAACCAGAGGGCGATTATTCCGCCATAAAAAATCCGATTTCACGACATTCCCATTATAATTAGCTTTTATTCATCTCGAGTGAAACTTTTAAACTCCATATGTAAAATTAATTTATTGCAACGCCTTTCATCTGGGGCTCTTTCGGTTTTTATCCATTTCTGACATGTAATCAATGATCTTCAT